ACAGGGAATTAAAAGAGCAATTCCGTCCTCGGTTTCATCTCGTAATTATAAATATAGAAGACCTAATAACCCCTCCCAGGGATCACAGTCCATTGCAGGTCCTTCTCATCAATAAGATTCCAGGCAGGACAAAACACCTACCGTAGCGAGCAGGCACGAAGGAAGCGGACAATACAACAAGGCCCGGGAGACAAAGACAACTAAAAACGGAACCAACAGGGCAGCTGAGAGGAGAACTGTCCGGTCTAAACAGACGACAGCAGTGAGACCTTGTCCGTACTACCTACGCAGCCGAGTAAGACAACCCGAAGGATTTCCAGAGGAGCGGAGGAACAGCGGAATAGAAAGTATTCCACAGAGCAACATCAGAAGGAGCCTCAGTATGGAAGCTTTAGACGGAGTTCCAGTGATAGGAGCGAATAAAGGGCAAAGAAAAATATCAGGTTGTATCTCGTTTCTTTCTTTTCTCCTTTCGAATAAGTGGTCGGAAGAATTATTGCAATGAAGCAAGTCACGGGTGGATTTTTAATTTAAGAAGCCAAGCAAAAGTGGACACTACAATGAGTGTGTTTTTTCCTGATGAGAAAAATAAGCTTTTGTATTAATTTTTTTGTATAAATATGGAGAAAACATTTGTAAGAATGCATTTGTTTACTTCTATGTATGACTTCGCTCAGATGCGACAATTCCTTTGGTTGTTTGTTTTATTGTTTTTTGAAAAATGTTTGAAATTGTATGTATATATATGCGTATATTTCATCTTACATCTGGTGACTTGGGACGCGGCGTAATTAGGTAGAGCTAACATTTAATACCAACAAGCGCAGCATGTATGGAATGGGAATGTTTAGGAAACAGATGCTTCAATTGGTGTATATGAAAATGTTATGTAAAAAATGAAGGAATCTGTATGTACTATAGATGTTTGTTTTTCACACAAAGAAATTCCCATTTCAGGGTAGCTGACCCTGAGCATTGTATATTCCACAAAAGAAGCAAGATGGAAGTCCGAATATGTGTTATAATATTTAAGTAGATTTTTAAGTAGTTAAGGAAACCACGCAGGCAGGTTTTTCCACTTAGGTGGTTTTCCCTCGCCTCAGAGCCGAATGGGCGTGGTGTAGGGAAATCTAATTCTGTAAATGTTACGTCCTTTAAAGTGTAGTTTTAGGTCGTAATTTTTTTTCTTTCCCCTATGGAAGGAGAATTTTTAGTATCTGATTGGTAGATATATATTAAAGTCGTCGGGACTATAAATCAAGTCTAGGAATTGGTTACGTAATTTATTTTCAGGCCGTTTGTGACCTTCGAATAAATCCCGTTTTCTTTTTGGAGGGGACCTTTCCACTAATCTTCTTAGGCATCTTTCTGGGGAATATAAATTCGCGTTTATTTCCAATCAACTCCAAAAAGAGGTATGTGATATTTAAATTATATAGATAAGGTATTTAAGTCGAGAGTTGCGAGATAGCAAGAGAGATGATGGTAGGCTATTGAGCCAGTAACGTTAAACGCATTACTAGAAGATTCAAAGAGATTAGATTCGTGAAGACGTCATGCTGCTAGACGTACCAGAAAGCTGATATAAGCCAGCGGTAAATATAATTCACGTACGCTTAAAGTAAGCGTCAGTTTGAGCTACTTAGTTAAACTTAATGACAGTTAAGAATTCGAATACGTGTGTTTCTCGGATCTCCTATTTCGGTACTCCTTACTTGAGTTTGAGCTAGATTATTAATTAATTGTATTCTTAGTAATTTAATTTAATACAAAGGCAGATCCCTTTAAGCGACGTAACATTATTGTATTATATGTTATCAGAGATTTTTGAGGAAATTATAACAAATAAATAATATTATTATTCAAAATGGCTCTTGGTGGTTCTTTGCCTCAAATTAATCTTTGTGTTCAAGTTGTGACCCAGGGGGGTCATCACAACTTTAACATCAGCTCTTTACCGTGCTCTGTAGAACATAGAGAAAAAAAACAAAGCTACGTACTACCGACATATATGTATATAAGCTTTATTAACAGAAATACTTGGACCAGAAGCACTCGCAGAAGGCTGACTAAGAAATTTGTCAATTTTGGACAATTTTAGTTTACAATCTTCTCTTTCTTGACATTGTTTGCACTTAAACACACCAACTAGGTTAATTTTTTATTGTTTATTCATAATTTGAGTTATCCAAAACAATTCGTATGTACTCGAGTACTTAAAGACGTTAATAGTAAGGAGAAACGTAATGCTTTACGCTACAAAAGATCGTGAGGAAAATCCTTAGTTATTTATTTACACGGGAGGATCGAACTCATCCACCAGAGAGCTTAAACCTACAAAATAGTTCACCGAGATAAATAGAAAATGATTCAAAAAATATGCATGCACAAGAGAAACTGACCAGAGGTCTTTGAAAAAAGACCTCTGCAAAACAACAGAGGAGAGGGGAGGATTACATCAGTCTATAACAGATGCGAGTAGATTGTGAAATGTTGAAACAAAAAACTAGCTTATGAATCATATTGCTTTTAAAAATAAAGAAATTTCCTCATGTGTAAGTGTTTTGTATGATGTATATAAATAAATATGGTAAGGTTTTTCATGGAATTTGAAGCTTATTTTCAAGTAATAGTTTATAGAAAAATGAAAAAATTGAAAATAATATTAACTTTTCAATAAGTTAAGTTCACAGCAGCGTACAAACAATGGAAAGAATTTAGGGGAATTCCCTACAAAATCGAAATTACTTTCAATCGAGTTATCATGATTATAGTTGTGTTGCAATCTTTTGTATTCATATCTTAAATGTGGGAGAAGTTATTGCAAATTTGGTTTGTTTGGTGGTCAGGGTTCGAGGGGCCCCCTGAGCTTGAGGGCCCAGGTGTACTGCACCACTTAGCCCATTGGTAACTACACCCTGCTTACTAAAGTTGTTTACTGCCATGCCTCACAAAGATTACCTTTTTTTTAGAAGCAGCACAGCAAATCCTGTCAGCTTCTTGACGTAATCTTTGCACCTCAGATGCATTTGTAGAAATTTCTGTTTGAACGGTGACATGCCGTCGAAGAAAAGCCTTAAAAGAAATATAAATATGTGATAACACATTAAATCAATTATTTCTGTCACTAATGTCAGTTATTCATTACTTTCCGTAATTTAAAGAATAAATAATCAAATATATAAGTCATTCAACACAATAGTTAGTTTAATCCATAGAATATATTTTTTAAAAAATGATAAAAATGTATGTGAATTGGTTCGTTGTAAAAGAATGTCGAATGATAAGTGTATGTATATAAATTCCAAAATTCTTTAACATAGAAAACAATAGTTAATTTCAGTCTTTTTTTAATCATTTGGGAATATTCTTATACATAAATGATAATCATTAAACCTTTAAGATAATTTTTAGCCTAAAAAAACTTGTAAATTGCTTTTCTCAATATATTAGGTTGTCAAGTATGAAATGAAGCAAAGTTCATATTATTTATTTCAATTGCACATAACCTCATTTATGCGCCGTATTTTGGCATAGTTTGTTTTCCGTGTGAAAGGTACATCTTTTCCTCTTTGCAATGCATATTTCAGTCTGAAAAAAAATTAGCAGATCATCTTAAAATCTTAGTTTTTATTGGAAATAAATCGAATTCAATTATGTGCATTTTTTGCTCCATTTCACACTTGACAGCCTAATAATTCTGTAATATTTCACTTAAATTACTTCAACCCTTTTTCTACTAGGATAAGAAAATAAGTTTACGCAATGATTTTGCTTTTTAAAGTTTTGTTTTTGCTTTATATCTATAGTAAAAACATTCTTTTCTTCTTTGCTGTTAACTTTTAGTTTAACTATTAAATAAATCGTCATACCACTAATGCACAAATCTCCTTATTTTTCATAATTAATTTTTCTTCTTATTTCGATCACTTAGGTAAAGAATTATATTAAGTTATTCTTACTTTCAATAGCTACGCCTTTTTATAAATCTCCTTAAAATATAAACATGCTCATTTTAAAATTCTTAAGAAATATTATTATGTGAAAAAAAATACATTAGAAAAATAATAATATGACACAATTTTCTCTGCAAGCTAGGGCATATTAGTAACTGTATTGTTTTCGAAACTTGATCTCGACTGAAGAGAGTATTGACCTTTTGCTACTAAAATTCTTGTATCTTATTCACCCATTTTAAATAGTCCAGTTGAAGAATATATACTCAGCATACTAATCACTTAGCACAAAACCTGTTTACTGAATAATTGTGCACTCTAAACACATGAAATTCTTTTAAATGTTACGGAAAAGATAAATGTACCATTTTAAGCAAACATGGAAAATGTTTATCTTTTTGTTGGATTTTTTACTGAGTTTTTATACAATTTTTAAATTATTTCCAAAATTATATCTGAGAACATTGAAGTTTATTTTAGCAGTTTGGGGGGTCATGGAATGACTACATTTCAACACTCTAAATGCTCCATTTAAATATATTCATCATTTTCTTATTCGTTTTGCTCTTTTCCCTGTTAAATAATATTTTTAATCGCTCTAAGTTACTTTACTTTTGAAATATGTACACCATTAATTTTGTCTCTCATAAAATACAAATAATTCTTTTTTTATGCAGCATGGAGAATTTAGTGAAATAATTACTGAAAAAACTTATTTGTATATATTATTATACCTGTGTCACTGTTACAATATACTGAAAATAAGTAATATATAAGAAAAATTTTAAGGCAATTCCTACTTAGGTGAACAAAGAAAAAAATTATTTTAGGTACTTTTTATTAAATAGTTACAATTAATATAAATATGTATGTACATTTGACAGAATCACAATATGAAGTGACAAAATAGAAAGTGATTTTCCTTTCTATATATGGTTGTTGGACTATTTTTTTTTTGTTTGCTACTATTTATTCATCAATTAAATTTAATTATTCTGATAAAATAGTATAGTGAAAAAGAAATCACATCCTCAGAAATTTGGCCATCCCAGGTGGGATTCGAACACACCTGGTTGGATTAAAAGTCCAACACGCTATCCATTGCTCTACAGGAACACAACGAACAATTTTCCTTTCTATATATGCTGTTGGACTAATAATTTTGTTTGTTACTATTTATTCATTTTTAATTTAATTACTAAATTAATATTTGAAAAAACTGTATTAGCATCAAGCGTCATCCACTACAAGTTTTAAAAAAATGTAATTGAACTTGAATGGATGAATAGAAAGTATTTAATTACCGATGGAAAATTTAAGCAGTATATATATATGAGGGGGAGTGAACTAATAGTAGGAATTGAAAAATGCATGACATACATTTAATTTTTTTTCAGAAATTTCCACTGTATTGGTCATTTTTAATGCATGCGAAATAGAGTGAAGACACGTAATCACACGTTTAATTATAGAGCTTTAATGAAAGACATAGTAGAGATTCCCTCTCTATATAACGCTTATACCCAGACTGACCAAACTAATTTCACTTGTAAGTGTAATTGTAATGACTTTTTAATCAAAAATACGTATCGTCATCAAAATACCTATAAGAGATTTTCTCAACTATCACAGAGGATTAAATTTAATAACCCAGTGATGATTTGAAGTGAAAGTAATTGATAGCCATTCTATCACTCGTTGATTTCATTACTCTTACTTCGCATGTCAATTCATCCGATCCACAGTCCAAACTGGATAGCAAATGAAGCTTTTCTGAAATCCACGAGTCACATTCTTCTGCATCAGCTAAATACTGAATAGGAAAAAAAATAGTGTGTATAACAATAGTAAAATAATATATTATTAGTTCTTTTTTTTCGCGTTGCTTATATGTTAAAGATACATTTAAATATAATTTTTTTAAATTCTGATTTCGGTACATCGAAAAATTAGTTACATTATAATCTAAATAATTAATAGGTATATTTATAAATAGAATTTGCGTTGCTCTTTTGTATTTTTGTTTGCCTGTTTATTACGATTTTATTCGATTCTATTGGAATTTCTAATTTCAATAACTAAATATTTAAACAAAAGTTGTATAATATATTTTTAGAGTTTCATGTAATATACTTATTATGTTGTGAAATAGAAATAACTAAATCAAAGATTTTTCAATAGAATTTGAATAAGGAAATTGGAGAATATCCCTGAAATAATGTATTATATCATATTTTGAAATAAATATACAAATTGGAGAATATAACTATTATAGGATTTTAAAATATGAATAAAGGTGTAAGGAATGAAAAGAATAAATAGGAGAGTATATGATTTGAGCTTTGAGGATCTCATATTATAGAATCTTTTAACTACGCTGCTTCCAAAAATTCAGCAGAAAGAAGGCCAAGCGATATCAAAGACAAATTTATTAGAAAGATATCGCACAGAATACTAAGAGGAAAAGATTGAGATTATAACTTATGCTAGGTTAGAAAGACGAGGAAATCATTACCAAGTGTTGTTGCCCCTGCTGCTGACGATAGCCGCAGCCTCACGCCTCGGCATGGAAGGAAAGGAACTGTAGATGTTTTTTGTTGTAGTATGGAAGCTTATGTTGCCAAAGCTAATCTGGTGTAGGAGTGGATGGCGTATATACAGTTTCTCTCCTATTATCAACCAGACGTTTTCCAAGGGCGATAGATTGGGAAAACTTTTAGGCTAAAACAGCAATGCAATCTGATGAGCGAAGATTTGAATGTTACGTGACACGTGTGGCCATGCATTACTCTATTTGAATGTGGTCACAGGCAAGTTCTAAAGGAAGAAGACATTAAGCCCCAAAACCTCAAAGATATAACATTGGCTGTTCATTGTACTGGCAATACGTACCAGGGAGCGTGGGAGTAGCATCCAATATCTCCCAAAACTTAATACCGGGTGCGTATGGTGATACATAAGGAAACATAAGAAATTGTTCACCATATTATCTCCAGATTAAATCGAGCCATCTTGTATTTGCAGGCAAAAGTGTTATACATCTGCAAAGACAATGTCGTATCATTCAGTTGTTCATGTTCACGTTCAAGGCACCATAGCAGAAGCAAATGCCTTTGGTTTTGCGTTGAAGATAATAACAGCCATGGACACCTTATAAACATTCTACTGCAGAATGGTACACGTGGACACTGATGGTTGTGCATAAAACTGTATTAGTTGTGATTTCATAATGTGGTATAGGGATCCATCCCAGCCATGTACACAATAGCATTAACCTGTCACGATGGTTACGACAAGGTTAATGCTACTGGTACCATCGATCTGTCGTTTCCTTCTGCATACATGAAATACAGATCTGCGACACTATTGTTTGGTTACATCCGACACGATCACGGATTTCTCGGTAGATAACAAGCTTTTCTTATAGGCAACATTTCTTCCTTGGTGGAACTCACAACCGTGCTCGAATGGAGCTCAAATTCTTCTCCTGAAGCAAAAACACAAGAAAAGCATCCAACCACAATTACAATATTTTACATCGGCACCTATTCTTCATTTATTTAGCTGTTTGTGTGTTCGTGTGCGTGTGGAATTACAGATACCCACGGTATATTTCTCTACCGCAAAACTAATTATTTTCATATGACATCGCGGTACGCTAACAGTGAAACTTTCTCACAGTTTGGATGTTTTCTTCATAGTGTTCATTTTAGATGGACAGCAGTGCATTTATATGTATTATGGTACAAAGCTACTTTTTTTAGCAAGTTACAACAATTGATTCTATAATCCCACCAAAACTTACCTGATATGCTTCAACAGCGAAAGCAATTTCACGTTCTTTCTTTTGCCAAGCGTCTTCAAGGGAAGAGAAAGCCTTTCTAAGTCTTTGATCATTCAGGTCTTCCGACATCTCTTTTCGAATTTGCAAGTCAGATCCTAAGGACTTAAGTAAATAAAAAATAGCTTAAAATAAGACTAAAAAAAGAAGTCAATAGCTTTTGTTCATTCAAAAAAATAATTTCTGTCTAGCATCATTTTAAATAATATCCCGTTTATTAAAATTTTAATTAAGCTCTTTTTCTGAATCCTCTATTATAGTTCAACTTTCGTTCAATAAGTAAATCATTTTTCACTTCGATTCAAAATGCATTCCGTCCCAGAAAACAAGTTTTATAAGCATCATACTAAATATAATCTGGAACAGAAAGAGCTATTAATTGCTTCAAAAATTTATGTTTTATTTTTATTTTTATCTGTATTTTGAGTTTTTTTAATTGCAATGCGTATTGCCAAGTAATTGCCAATTTATTAAAATACTACCATAGCATATGTTCACAACTAAATATCTCAAAAGTGAAATTTATAATAATACACTAAAAAATTAAGATATTTCTAATTACAGAATGATAATTCAATATTCATCTAACAGTATGCACAAACAATTTTTTTTCGAGAAACTGAAAAGAGTAAAAAGTATCAATTACTTTTTAAAATGATTTTTTACTTATGGGTTTTGAAAATATGTAGTTTATGTGTGTGTGTGAAAACTGTTTGTTATTTAATAGGATGTCTCACAAAAATAGCTACTTTTTTAATGATTCAGTTAAGAGCTCAAATGTTACAGTTTGCTTTTTTTTTACATTTTGTATAGACACGCACTGTTTGAGTTAAAATAAAATTTTCTATACTCAGGATGAATTCGAATTTTTTTCTGTTTATCTCTCTCTTTAGGGAATATTATTTACCCAATTGCTTTTTTAAAAAAAATGTGAAGTATCGAAAACTGAACGTATATTTTAAGGGAAATTGCATGAAATTTTTCTTGTTTGCTTTCTAATAGCTCTCTCTGCCTATTATTCTATCTACATACTTTTCACTCTACACACACAAAACTTATTCATTCTTCCGAATGGAATGAATTTGCAAGTTTTTTTTCATTTTAAACAGAAACAATTAATAGCACATTATAGAATCTTGAACATTGAGGTAAACTTGAGAGAGCATACTTTGTGCTTCTTTTGAAGGTATAGAGCTCCAGATAAATCTTTACAATTGGTATCTGAATCACAGTACAATTTCTTTTCTTGGATCCATGCCATCATTTCTTCAACGTTTTCTAACAACTGTTTACGTTTCAGAAACTCTTCGAGGGCTTCTCGGCGAACAGAGGATGCGTCAACTAAGCTGAAATGCGCAAAGATGGGTTATTTCTTCTACAAAGAAGAGTTTACTGCAAAAATAAAAGTATGAAAATTACTACAAAAATTCATCATTTTTTTGTCACTTTTCTTCAGTTTTTTCCTCAAAACTTTTGCAGGTTACTCAGCTTTACTTAATGTTAAAAATGAAACAAAAATAAGTTAAGAAATTACAACTAAAAAAAGTGAGCACAGGTCGCTTAACAACAATAGTTAGAATCATATTTGATAGATTGTTCAAATTAAAACTAAGTGAGAATAAAACAATATAAAAACTTACTCGAATAATAAAAAGTGATGATTAATTTTTATGAAGCTAAATCATCAAAGGTAAAAATCGACCTATTTTAACTTCAAATATTCGAAACAAATAACAAGTAATATAAGAATGAAGTCTTAATTTTTTTAGTACCTCAAAACAAAGGAATTTATACATTTTATTTGTCAGTATATTTAAGAAAGTAATTAAATAAATAATTCATTTTATAATCATTGTGTGCTAATAAGTCTTTAAGTACATTGCATTTTAGCTGATTCTGTTTCAATTAAAGTATAAGTTTCATTAGTTTCCAATCTCTAAGTGAAATAGCACTCTTGAATAATATGGAAAAGTTTTATCAGACAAATATTATTTTTGCCTTAATTTTTAAAAAGTATGTATGATAGATTGAAATTAAAACAGAAAGAGTCAAGTATATATATATATATATATATATATATATATATATATATATGTTAATCAAAGAAACAAAAAAATTAATTCCAAGACAAATTTCTAAAATTTAATGAGAAATTTTACATTTATTGTCATTTTCGGGAAGCCTTTTCATGTTTCTTTCAAACATATTTTAGTGGAAAAAATTTATAATTTTTCAGAAGTCTGCGTAATTTATATTAAAAAAATTAAAATAACGT